GCCCTCTTAGCCATTCTTCTCTGCATCGTCACCATCCTGGGTACATTTACACTCATCTCTTATCTCACTTGTTTTTCTTCTTTCTATTACAAAGATATCCATGCATGGTCAACGACTCAGCCCTCAGTGTTTTCCTTTTTTTAAGAAATTTTTAAAAAGCAAACGCCTCATTTAATCAAGCCCAGCAAAACAGATTATGCAGGTTTCATGACCTGACAGAAGCGTGTTATATTAATGATACATGTGAACATTTTAAATCCTTTCTTTGAGGAAAGGCTTTTCTCAGTAATTTCCCAAGTGGAGACTCTATATATTTTATTCACCATCCTAGGATCCTTTAAGTGGTCTGGTTGTATAAATAACCCAGGTACTGAACACTGTAAATAAGAGCATGTAAGAGAGTCGCTTAGCTCCATATTTTCATTGTCATTGTTAGTTAGTGTACTATATATAATGAGGGAAAAAGATCCAAAATCTGTCACTGGGGCAGTACCCAGTACATATTTTTGTCTTATTTACCACTTTTGGGCACATATTAGTACCTTAAAGTGTATTATTATTATTGTAAGTACTTATTAGTAAAATGTAAAAAGGTATCACCTTAGTGACAGACTACCTTTTTTCCCTGAAAGTGTGAGAGGACATTTTGCTTGCGTCTCTACACCTTTTCCAAAGTAGAGGTTTGTGCTTGCATTTCTAGATGTGAGAAACAAGACAAGAGTGATGGCAATTAAGACAAGCCACTGATCTGCAGTCACACCATCAGACAGGCGAAAAGTGTTGAAGTATTCTGAAGTTCACAGACCCCTGTGCTAATAAGAGACTTCCTTTTCAACACCACCTTTCTTTATTTTCCACTGGTTTTATTTCGTTCATTTGTTTATTTCTAGATGAACGAACGGTGTTTGAAACTTGTGTTGTCAATCAAAATTTATAATGAGTTTACATTACAGAAATAAACCAGGAAGATGTTAAAGAAAGAAAGAAAGAAAGAAAGAAAAGCTATTTTGATATTGTGTCTATTTCTTTCATCTTCTTAGTCATCGTCATCCTCATTGTGTTGCGGAGGCGCTATCAGAAGGAAATTTTGGTTACCAAGTCTTCTGGCGAGATCCACGAGCAGCTTGTGAGTTATGACAAAGAAAGAAAGAAAGAAAAGCTATTTTGATATTGTGTCTATTTCTTTCATCTTCTTAGTCATCGTCATCCTCATTGTGTTGCGGAGGCGCTATCAGAAGGAAATTTTGGTTACCAAGTCTTCTGGCGAGATCCACGAGCAGCTTGTGAGTTATGACGAGGAAGGCGGTGGAGAAATGGACACAAACGGTTATGACGTCTCCATCCTGTCCTCTGCTTGTCACGACAGCAGCTTTCGGCCCAGCACGGGGCCTTCGCTGTACGCCGTGGTGAAGAAACCCTCTGCTTGTAAGGGTGACATGGCCATGATGATCGAGGTGAAGAAGGATGAGGCCGACCATGACCGTGATGGGATTCCCTACGATACTTTACACATCTACGGCTGCGAGGGATCTGAATCCCTGTCCGGTTCCCTCAGCTCTTTGGACTCATCTTCCAGTGGGTCCAATCTGGACTATGACTTCTTGCATGAGTGGGGACCTCGTTTCAGGACCCTGGCTCAGCTCTACGGAGTAGATGGCTCGGACTCTGATAGCTCCGACTGATCCTACTGAAGGCCTGGGTTATCAGGTAGTCATCGTCCTAGGAGGACACATCAGCACGATGGAGACTGCTGTCTTCTCTTCATGGGACTTTTTGTAAGGGTCCCTTTAAGAAAGGGATTAACAAGTGTCAATATTTGTTTCCTTCATGCATTGTTATGACATTATGATGAGCACTAATGTATTTGGAATTTTCATAGAATAAGTGTATGTTAGTAGAAAAACTTGTCTTGGTTTTTTCAGACTGGTTTTGTCCAGGTGGGTTTTGTATAAAACAGCATTGGACACTGGTTGGACAAACTCTCTGGTTTATCCTTACAGCAAATCTGCTTTCATTTTTTTACGCAAAATATCTTTGTGAAGGATTTTTGTTTTCTTCTTGTGTATATTGTATTACTCAACCCAGTCTCATGAGAAAACATAATTATTTTACGTTTTGGCAACTCTGTGGTAAATCCTTATGAATTTGTACCATTAGATTCATACGAAAATGTTACCCACCCCTGAATCTAACCAGTAACATAAAACTGAGATTATACAAATAATATGAATTTGCAACCAAACTTAAAAGTTAAAAGTAGCAATGAGACTGTGTTGTTCTTAATATTTATTACATTGTTTTTCACATCTTGTTTTCCTATAAAAATCCTCAGTTTGCCAGTTTATGCTTTTTTCTAGACTCATAGTCAGTGTAATTGCAGAGCCAGCATTGTTCAGCAGACTCTTCTCATCAGGAAAACTACTGTATTGCCATGGGAGCAACAAAGGAAGTGGTGATAACTGTACTTTGAAAGAATTAAAGGCTACTCCAAGTTTATTTGACAGGAATCATCAGCACATCGATTGTTATGAGTAAAGCCCAAATCTCAAAGGTCCACCATTATAAGGCAATTGCAGACGTCTCAGGAAACATGCAGTGAGTTGTATGCCTGTTGAAATGTGAGAAGTGATCTGAATAACTGTATTACCAAGTGAATTATAAGTGTGGCTATATATTTAACAGTGCCATTTAACTTGTTAAATATTTTGATGATAGTTAAAACCAAAATATGTAGCAGGCCAGCCAGTGTCTTGACAATATTGTTTGTCTTTCATTCAAGACTAAATAGACAAGAGGATCTCCTTTCATTGAAAAATTTGTAGACCATCTTTATACATTAAATATTTACCTTTGTGCACAAACTCTACCGTTTCCCCCATTAACCATGGACACAATATGTGGAAGCCACCTTCTCCCTTTCCTGTAGGGAATTACACTGCAAGCACTCTTCTCCCGTCTAGTTTAACATGATCAGCTCCGTCACTGAAATGTCAACTTCCTGTCTGTGTGAGCACAAGGAAACGCACTTCCTTATCTTTTAAGTGAAGGAACAGATTGAAACCGTTTTCCTGTTTTCTCGTCTTGGAGGGATAAAGAAAGAAAAGTTAGGGGAGCAGGAAAATGTTAAAGAACAATATAAATCAAGCTGTCTTGATCACAAAGGCATTGTCCTTCAAGACAAATGGTGCTGCTCTTGAATGTTTCTTTTTGTTTTTCACCATACAATTTAGTCAGTTTTCATCTTTTTTTTTAATTTTAGAGAAATTTCTTATAATTCTTATGTGTTATTCTGGTTGTAGAATTAGATATTCAATCACTAGAGTATGTAACTACTGGGCAAAGACTATTACAGTAAATGAAAATCAGATAGACTGCACATCTTCCCATGAATTCCCAAAGTTGAAGAAAAACTGGAACCGTAACTAAAATGACCTTCAGTTGATAGCCTATGTGATTGTTCATTATTGTTATCATATTTCCTGTAGGTATGTATGCTTTGAATTATCGATTATTGACATTATGGCCAGTTTAAAGTGTATAGTGTGTTGAATGAACATTTTTCTTCAAGTGTCTGAGATTTGTTGGGAAGGTCCATTAGATGTCAGTGTTGGGCAGTCAGACTAAACATTTCAGTATGTGGTTCTTGTCTGTGTTACAGTCTGGTGTTAAGAAGGACAAAAAATATGTGCCTTGTTTCTATTGTTAAAAATATTCTTTTTGTTTTCTGTTTTGAAACTGCCAATTTTGTATTTGAATAATAAACTTCCATACAATAGTTTAAGTGTCCTTAATATAAAATCAATTGTAGAAAAACATAAAGTTTAATGACAAAATGTCTTCGACTGAACAGTGTGTGTGTGAAGGCAGAAGAGTGTCAGTGTCTCATTAAACCGATGTTGTATGGGTAGCAGAGGGTACCTTAAGGTGAAGTTCACAATGTCTGTTGTTTATCGCACAGACAAACAGATCACACAGATAGCGGCATGTTAGCAGAAATTCCACAGTGATGTCACGACTAACACATCTGTGAGACACCCAGCTGGGACTTCCTGAGGCTGTAGACACAGCCATTCATAGTATATACAACATAATGGCTTTCTTACAATGAACACAGAGATAATGCAACATAATAGAGGAAAAATCATCAAATACATATTCATCTAAATAAATCACACTCGTGATTTATCATAACCATTTTTTTATTTATTTTGTGTGTGTGTATAACCCATGCTGTCTTGTATAACCCAGTACCTATTACTATCTTCAGTAGCCTTAGTTACACTACCGTTCAAGAGTTCTTCTTTGGAAAAAGTATTTTATGTTCGCCAAGTCTGCATTTATTTGTTTAACACGTGTCATTCAATACATTTAAATTTTTTACCACAAAAAATGGTAACATTTCAATGAAGTTTTCATGAATTCATTGACATTATGTAATGTGTTGGATATTATTAACTAATAATGTGCATATATTGCAGCATATTATTCTAGGTTAAGTATCATTTATAAACATTTATATTAAACATATAAAAAACATATACAAACAGAACCGTTTAAATGTTGGTGGCCGGTATGATTTTTTAATGTTTTGAAAGAAGTATTTTATGCTTACCAAAGCTGCATTTATTTAATTACATATGCAGTAAAAAAAAAATTTAAATAACTGTTTTCCATTTTAATATATTTAAAACGTCTCTAGGTTACGTATGTAACCATGGTTCCCCGAGGGAACGAGACGCTGCGTCGAGATTCGCTTTGGGAACGCCCCCTGCGTGACCACGTTCTGAAGCACGTGTCTAATCCGTCCAATGGAGCTGCGAGACGTCAGCAGCGGGTGACGTCAGCACCAGAAAGCATAAAAGGCGCATCCGGCCAGGCGCCACCCAGCTTAGATGAAGTAGCGCCTGCAGGGATGCAGGGAGTATGGCCAAGAGACGCAGCGTCTCATTCCCTCGGGGAACCTTGGTTACATACGTAACCTAGAGACGTTTCCCTTCAGGAACTCGAGCTGCGTCGAGATTCGCTTTGGGAACGAGAATACCAACTGCGCCATACTACCAAGTCCCTGCCTGTGTGTGTATCTTATGAGCACATCACGAAGAGAGAACTTGGGAACCTGGGGTAGATGCCAGGTGTAAGTTGTAAAAGCGGACAAAAGTGTGCGGAGTCGCCCCGACCCCCGTTCTTTTTGCGGAGGGGCGCGGGTTGCAACGCTCTGTTTTTGTGACTGGCGATATGAGGAGCCTGACGGCTGGGGCTGCTCCCGCTCAGCAGCCCCCTGGGCCTGGAAGCGGCGAGGGAGGAACCGTTGAAACGCCGCCGCTTGCTTCCTCGCCTCCTGGAACCTCTCGACGACAGTGTTAACTGCGTCGCCGAAAAGGCCAGCAGGCGAAAGTGGGGCGTCTAGGAGGAAGGATCTGTCCTTATCCTGCATATCAGACAGATTCAACCACAGATGCCGCTCCGTGGCCACCATTGCTCGCCGCTTGCTTCCTCGCCTCCTGGAACCTCTCGACGACAGTGTTAACTGCGTCGCCGAAAAGGCCAGCGGGCGAAAGCGGGGCGTCTAGGAGGAAGGATCTGTCCTTATCCTGCATATCGGACAGATTCAACCACAGATGCCGCTCCGTGGCCACCATTGCTGCCATTGACCGGCCGATAGCTCTGGCCGTTTCTTTGGTGGCCCGGAGGGACAAATCTGTGGCCCGACGCAGTTCAGCTACCATGTCGGCTTCCCCCTCTTCCCTGTCATCCAGGTCCTTGAGCAGGTCAGCCTGGTACGCTCGTAACACCGCCATGGTGTGCAAGCATGCGCCAGCCTGACCTGCTGCCGTATAAGCTTTCCCAACCAGCCTAGATGTCAGCTTAACAGGCCTGGTGGGACGCTTCGGAGCCTTCAGGGACGATGCTGAAGATGGGGAGAGATAGCTCCCGAGCGTCTGCTCCACCCCCCCTCGAGAGCTGACCGTGCGTGCTCCGCTCCCAAACAAACGACACACAAATCGTGTGTATCCCCTGCCGTCAGATATCGTGGGCAGGGGGGAACACAGCGTTTGTACTGCCGTTCGCTCGCCATAGACTTTTTCATTGTTTATATATATATATGAGTGCTTGTGCTTTTTTTCCGGGACAGACAACGGTAAATAGACAGACACATACACAGAGCGCTGCTGAAGATCAGAAGCTGGGTGGCGCCTGGCCGGATGCGCCTTTTATGCTTTCTGGTGCTAACGTCACCCGCTGCTGACGTCTCGCAGCTCCATTGGACGGATTAGACACGTGCTTCAGAACGTGGTCACGCAGGGGGCGTTCCCAAAGCGAATCTCGACGCAGCTCGAGTTCCTGAAGGGGAATGTAATTTATTCCTGTGATGGCAAAGCTGAATTTTCAGCGTTACTCCAATCTTTAGTGTAACACAATCCTTCAGAACACATTCTGCTGATCTATCTATCTATCTTTGAAATCTTTGCAAATTTTTTTTGTTTTTTTAATTTTCAAAACGCAAAATTACTTGTACATAAGTATTCACAGGCTTTGCCATGACACTCAAAATTGAGCTCAGGTGCATCCTATTTCCACTGATCATCCTTGAGATGCTTCTACACCTTGACTGGAGTCCACCTGTGGTAAATTCAGTTGATTGGACATGATTTGGAAAGGCACACACCTGTCTATATAAGGTCCCACAGTTAACAGTGTATGTCAGAGCACAAGCCAAGCCATGAAGTCCAAGGAATTGTCTGTAGACCGCCGAGACAGGATTGTATCGAGGCACAGATCTGGGAAAGGGTACAGAAAAGTTTCTGCAGCATTGAAGGTTCACAGAAGCATGTAGTCTCTTTTACTCTTAATGGAAGAAGTTTGAAACAACCAGGACTCTTCCTAAAGCTGTCACCCAGCCAAACTGAGCAAATGATGGAGAAGGACTAGTCAAGACTGGTGACCAAGAACCTGATGGTCACTCTAGTTGACCTCCATGATCATATGCAGATAGAAGAAACCTACAGAAAGATGAACATCACTGCAACACTCCACTGTTCTGGGCTTTATGGCGGTGTGGCAAGACTCAATCCATTCCTCAGTGAAGACACATGAAAACGTCTCGGGTTACGTATGTAACCATGGTTCCTCGAGGGAACGAGACGCTGCGTCTCGGTGCCATGCCATGAGGAACCATGGTTACATGCATAACCAGAGACGTTCCTCTTCAGGAACTCGAGCTGCATCGGAAAATGCTTCGGGAATGAGAATGCCCATGCCGCCAGACTTTCAAATCTCTGCCTAGTGTGGAAGCTTGCACAGCTAGGGCGAGAGAACAGAATCATTTCTTCTGATCATCAATGTCAAAACCACTTGTACTGCTTAATATTTTAGTGGAAAACGTGATCCATTTCTTTTCAGGATTCTTTAATGAATAGAAAGTTTATAAGAACAACATTTAATTGAAATAATTATTCTGTAACCATATAAATGTCTTTACTGTCACTTTTGGTTTGTTGAATGTGTCCTTGCTGAATAAAAAGTAGGCTACAAATTTATTTGTTTGCTTGCTTACCTCAAATAACTGTAATTTATTAGGAGAGATTCCACCAGGAAAACCCATTCATGGTAGTACAGTAAATCCCCATTTCCACTGAAGTTTTTAGGCAAGTTTCTGAAAAAAAAATATAGAAAAATAAAGATATGATCAAATATAGGAAGGCAATATACATTTGATCATTTATCGATCGCTTTATTTATTGAAAAAATGAGGATTCGTAATGAGAAATAAAGCTTTCACATCAATTGTAATTTGACAACGTGAACACAAGAGGACAGCACAATATCACTACAGTAAAGGGACGATGAATGCTGGCCTCTTTTGAACAGCTTGAATACAAAAAAAGGGCATCAGGACTCTTCTTACATTGTTGTGTATATATTTCATTCATTCATTCATTTATTTTGTGAAGATTTGTGATCTGCAGCCATACATTTAGATTTCAGGGAAACAAAAATCTGAAAATACATCAAGGCATCAACTATTTTCTTTTGTTTCTTACAGTTTTACTTACATGCAGATGCAGGATTGTTGAAAAGTTTTAGGTCAGTAAA